AAAAAAAAAAAAAAAGTGTGTATTTCTTGTATAACTTATTTCAAATGGATTTTTTAAATTTTTTATTTGAAGACAGGGTGTTGGCCAGGCAAGGTGGCTCACATCAGTAATCCCAGCACTCTGGGTAGCCTAAGCTAGAGTGATACCTCAGCTCTAAAAATAGCCAGGCATTGTGGCAGGCACTTGTAATTCCAGCTACTCTGGAGGCTGAGGCAAGAGAATCGCTTGACCCCCCAAGTCTGAGGTTGCTATGAGCTATGACGCCACAGCATGGCACTCTAGCAAGGACGACAAAGCAAGACTCTGTCTCAAAAAAAATAAATAAAAATAAAGACAGGGTCTCACTCTGTCACCCAGCTAGAGTACAGTAGCCCAGTCATAGCTCACTGCAGCCTCAAACTCCTAGACTCAAACTCCTAGACTCAGTATTGCTCTTCCAGTGTCCTGAACAGAGCCTTACACAAAGTAGACAATAAATATATATTTAGTAGCCAAAAGAAATTATTTAACCTCTCTCAGCTTTGGTTTTCTTATTTGTAAAATGAAGATAATAACAATTACTATTATTGGAAGGATTCAAATAATAACATGTATAAAGTATCTGGCAGATAATAGGCAAAAAAAAATCTTTATTTCTCAGTCTCAGCCTCCCGTTTAGCTAAGGACCACAGATAGGTGCCACCATGCCTGAATTTTTGTACTTGCCCTCAAGACAAAGTTAATGGAAATAGCAAGAAATTCATTTCAGTCTCAGCCTCCTGTGTAGCTAAGACTAGAGATGGGACTACAGGCAACCATGCCTGACTAACTTTTCTATTTTTTTAGTTTTTGTAGAAATAGTTTTCACTATGTTGCCCAAGCTAGTCTTGAAGTCCCAAGTCCAAGCAATCCTTCCACATGAGTCTTCAAAGTGCTGGGATTACAGGTATGATTCACCATGCCAGCTGATTTATATTTTTCCTAAAGTAAAACATAGACATCTTTTATAAAGTTAAATAGTTCTAAAAATCTTATAACAAAAAAAGCAGTTCTCTGCCTCATTCCACCCCAGTGCCTCCAGATGCACCAAAAGCACCACTTTCAATTCTTTTAGCTATTTTTTTCTAGTATTTCATGTTTCCTTTTTTGTAAGGAATTTGAATATACTATTACCTTTTGATTAATCAATTATAAATATTATTCATTGACTTCTTATGGTAACTGAGGAATTTATTCTAAAATTTTATTATTCTCTTTGGTTTCCCTTCCCCATTCCCAACATTACAGTTTTGTTTTTGTTTTGTTTCGTTTTGTTTTACATAAAGCCTTACTTTGTCATCCTGGGTAGAGTGCTGTGGCATCATAGCTCACAGCAACCTCAAACTTTTGGGCTGAAGGGATTCTCTTGCCTCAGTCTCCCGAGTAGCTGTGACTACACAGCCCTCCACAACGCCTGGCTATTTTCAGAGACTGGTTCTCACTCAGGCTGGTCTCTGGTCTAGAACTTGTGAGCTCAAGCAATCTACCTGCCTCGGCCTCCCAGAGTGCTAGAATTATAGGTGTGAACCACCATGCCAGGCCAATATTATAATTTTTTATTAAATCAATACTCTTTATTTAGGTTCTTATACCTAGTCATAGCTGAACAATTCATTCTAGTGACCAGACTAGAAATTTAGCAATGATGTGATTTGGAGTATATCTATTTTTATCCATTGGGCTGATCATCAGCGAATCCTTTCAGTCTGGCAAGTTACTTCCTTTAGTTCTGGGAAATGTTTTTTATATTTGTTGACCAGGCCCAGTACCTATAGCTCAAGTGGCTAGGGTGCTAGCCACATACACTGGAGCTGGTGGGTTTGAATCCAGCTTGGGCCTGCCAGACAATAATGACAACTATAACCAAAAAATAGCCAGGCATTGTGGCAGGTGCCTATAGTCCCAGCTACATGGGAGGCTGAGGCAAGAGAATCGCTTAAGCCCAAGAGTTGGAGGTTGCTGTGAGCTGTGACGCCAGAGCACTCTACCCAGGGTGACAACGTGACACTCTGTCTCAAAAAAAAAAAAAATTATTTGGGGCAGCACCTATGGCTTAGTGAGTAGGGCGCCAGCCCCATATACCAAGGGTGGCTGGTTCTAACCTGGCCCCCGGCCAAACTGTAACAAAAAAATAGCCAGGTGTTGTGGTAGGCACCTGTAGTCTCAGCTTCTCAGGAGGCTGAGGCAAGAGAATCACCTAAGCCCAAGAGTTGGAGTGAGCTGTGAGCTGTAATGCTATAGCACTCTACCAAGGGTGACAAAATGGGACTCTGTCTCAAAAAAAAAAATGATTTGTTGAACATATCACCCATTTTCTCTGTTTTTTTTTTTTT